GGAGACAGTTATTGCTTAAGATATATAAAAATATTGCAAAATTAGTTTCCTTTGAAAAAAATAACCAAACAAAAAATAAATAAACAAATCATTTACAGTTTCATCTGGTCAGCCAGTGTGACTTTCACTGAGCTCAGTTAAATAAGATCTGACTATTGCCACTGATATAGTAATTTGTGGACTGCTTGGCTTCTAAGTGTTGTGCAAGTGAATGTAGCTTTAACAAAACAATTCAGGTGGAGGCGTTTTTACTACCATGAATGAATTTAAGTCCATATTCTGGTTTCAAACTATGAAATCTCACTTGCTGGGTCCAGGCTAAACCAATGTATTACTGTCACTTTAAGTTGGAATAAGTCTCAACTTAAATATGTGATCTAACATAAATAATAAAAAGATAAATCACAGATCAATGGAACAATGTAATATATGTATCAAGATACAGCACAAAATGTAATGACAATCCGATACAGGTTTCAAAACTGTATTTTAAAAAAGCTCCACTTCACAAACTCCTACGAATTTTCCCATTCAGTTTTCCAACAGGTTCACTGCCATCATGTACTTTGTACATGTCTGACAGAACATGTATTATCAGGCTGTTAGAACAGAAACTTTTTGGTTGGAAAGAAAAATGTCCATAGCCACACAAAACAAGGTCTAAAAATATGTGAATTATTCTCGATACAACATGAAAAATGCCAAACTTGAACAAGAAAACAAGAAAAAAACCAACATGCATTTTTAGAAATGTTTTAAATGCTTCCAAACAATGTGCTTTCAAGTACACCTTTGTAAGTTTTAACACAACATAACTGGCCTCATTTTATTATATGTGCAATTATAAGGCCAAATAACACAGGGAGTTGACTAGACAAAAAAAAAAAAAAAGAGATTCAATGCCAGTCCCTAAAAATATTTTATACAATTTTACAATTAAACATGAGACAAACAGGTCACCCCAAAAACTGCCATCTGGTGATTATGTATGTAGAATCTTTCTGTTCTCATTTACGTGTATCATTTCCAGAAATATGAACCTCTGACCAGGAGAAAAACAACTTTTAAGTTGACAACTGCTTTCTCTGCCAACTGAGTCATACGTGTGCTTTTGTGTATCACTTCAAAAGCTGCTCCTTCAATGGTTAACTTTCTATCTTACCCACAATGTCTTTTGTTTGCCTTTATAGTACTTGCTGTCTGTAACTTTAAACATCAGTTTGTTCAAATAAGGATGATCCTGCAACAGGCCCAGAAAGCCAGTAGGGAATTTATTTGTCCACATGAAATTGTTCAAGAATTATAAAGGAATTTGAAAGCAGCAAATGATTCCTCCCCACGCCACTTAATGGCAGAAGTGGTTTATGCTGATAATGATGATGCCTTTCTTTAACTTTACATTTCAGTGACTTGTGTTCACTCTTGATATTTTCCTTCCTGCTAACAGACATCTGTTGCCCTAGTGAAGCACACGTTAACAAAAACATTAGTTTACTTAATCTTAGTTTGGCAGGAATTCAAGCTTTTTTTATGGTTAATGGGGGAGGGGGTTCCAACGATCTTGATTTCCAGCTATCTCCTTTTTCTTCTTCGCGTTCACCAGCTGTAAACTTCGGCAGCAAGTTCTGACTGTTCACTTCTGTTGCAGAACCTGAGTGTTGCGAGTACATCAGTTTTACAGATCTGAAAATTTTATGCAGACTGCTGAATATTTGCCTCCGAGGCAGAGGTACTCTTGACTTTGAAGGAGACTCCCAGTTAGTTGATTCCCTCAACATGCTTGTTGGGGAGCAGTGGGTATATTCTTGTCTTCCCCCACAATGGGGCCCCGGAACCCACACAGGGATTTTCAGCAATCTAATTTTGAACATTTCTTTAAAAATGTATGAATGTATTATGACAGTTATATGTCTTCTTTTATTTTACTACTTGTCATTAGTTTTAAGGAAAGCACCAATGTCCATATCACATTTGTCAGGGGAAGTGACCATTTTTATTAATTTCCTTATCACATTTGTCAGAGGAAGTGACCCATTTTCCCTAATTTCCATATCACATTTATTTGAAGAAGTGTACCCCCCCCCCCCCCCCCCCATTTTTTTTCAAACTTTTGAAATTTATAAACTCAACACACCAATATTTAATAGTTTGCAATCTAATCAAATGGTAAACGTCAGTAACCAAAGCATAAGTTTTCTACTGCCACCTTTATCAGGTATAATAACACAAAGACCACTCCCACAAATAATATACAGATTTGTTGCGACTAATAAATAATGGAATGCTTTTTTCTAACTCACTTCAAATTACTGAGATGACTTTATGTTGGCTTATAATTGGGGAAAAACATAATATTACAAAATAGTCATATAAATATATATATATATATGTATATTATATGTACAGTTCTACCCATAGAATGTGTTTTGAAGAAAACATCACAGTTAAGAAATACAATTTACCAAAAAATAATTTTAAAAATTTTTTGCATGCAATAATAAAATATCAAGTCTATTTTCTACACATCACCTCATGTGCAGTTATTAAACTTTATTTAACTGAAAGCTCTGCATTAAAATACTAGGGAAAGGAAACACACATCCTGAAAGCCCCTGCACGAAAGGGAAACAAATGATTCAGTGTTATAAACATAAGATAAGAACACTTAAGGTTAAAAAGAAAACAGTTTTCAATATTATTTTAAGTAACAAAATGTACCATATTTCTAAACCAGTCATTGATTTTATGATAATTAACTAAATATTGTTTTTGTTTTTTTAAATGAGAAAATGACCTGCAACATTCAGTTTTTGTTTTTTGTTTTTAATGCAATGATTTATATTAAATGTTTGTTAAAATCTATACACTTTCTGATTGCCAGGAACACTGGTTTTTACCACTATAACTGCATGATCCTGGCACAAATAATGGCTTTTACCCCTACTACTGCACAATATTTGCCACCAGGTGGCTTTTAACCACTATTGCTGCATGCTGTCTGCCTAAAATAGGGGTTTTTACCAATATTACTGCATTCTGTCTGCCACAAATAGTGGTTTTCACCAATATTACCGTATGCTGTCTGCCAAAAATAGTGGTTTTTACCAATATTACTGCATGCTGTCTGCCTCAAATAGTGGTTTTCACCAATATTACAATATGCTGTCTGCCACAAATAGTGGTTTTCACCAGTATTACTGTATGAGGTATGTAACGAAAAGTGATTTTCACTGATGTCTGTGACAATAGTAGTTTTTTTTTAACAAAGTGAAAAATTACCCTTTAACAATTTATTAGTGATGCAAAATACATATTTGCTTCTGAAAGCTATTGGCTTGAGTCCAGTGTCATTTGACAGTTTTCTAGTAGCATCCTTATTACATCTCAGTCAAGCAGGTCTAGTCTCTATAATGAAGGTTGGCTGCAAACTTCATCACACTCTCTCTTGTCTTGGCTGTACACTATTTAATATTTTTCATTCCCTTCTTGATGCTGTCTTCCCACTTAAATCTTTGCCTACCTCTTGTCCTCTTGCCTTCTACTGTTCCTCTATCCAAATATCTACTTCTTGTCCACGTCATGGTGGCCTGGGAAAAACAAAAATTAGGACGGAGGGCAGTTTCCAGAAATCAAGAAAATAGCCGGCTTTCAGTGGATTTCAAATATTAAACATGCACTGGCTATGAAAGCACACGGGGCTGCAGAATAAAGCAGCGACAAAGAATCTTTCAGGCCTTCTGTGACGGGGTAAGAGTGACATTCTGTAAAAAACCTGCTTACTGACGACGATTTCTTGTCAATTCATTGTCCCTGCTTTATGAGCATTAATTGAAACTAATGAATTGGCTGACCAATTGTAATAATAAAATAGTGGTACCATGGTCTCCTTATGTGGAAACTTCAATTAACTGCTACTTACTGTACATCATGACTGGCCTGGTCAAGAGACAATGGATTAAACACAAGCCACATGATCTTGTAATTTATTTCCTATCTATGCCTGAGGTTTTATACATAGTTTTCCAAGTTTTCCAGGCTATTTATAGACCAGAAATATATCCTAACAAGGTAGTGCAATGACTGACAGAATTTGTGTGTTTAAAAAAAAAATTCCTAATAGACAAAAATGTATGTAACATGACTGCATACAGAACAGCTCTAAGCAACTGGCACTGTAAAGCCTGTTTCAGGTTAACTTTCAAAATAACATGATATTATAAACTAGTTAGTTCAATTAAAAATGATCTTCAAAGATGATATCACATTAGGCAACATAATAACTTATTATAACTGTTAAGTGAAATGTTGTATAAATAAGATTTTAAGTGCATTCTTAGTCTAGCAATGTAGTGAGAAAAACTGATGCCAAGGTGTTAAAGAAATTACAATACCATTGCTTCTACATTACACAAATATGCAGGTGCTGCACTGAATTTACATTTTTTTAAAAAATTATTTTAACATAAAAGAGACCTTCTAGCTTATGCAGTTATATAACATGTTCTTTGAAGAAGAAAAAATAGACTGTGAGCAGATGTTTGTTTCAAATGTTTGTTTAGCAGAAGAGAACAAAAATATGACTGAAAACTGTAACTTAGTAAATGTGTACAAGGAGAGTAAAATATCACACACAATATGTGTGACACTTAAAACATGTTAACCAAATTGTTTTTAAGTTACTGGAAGCATAAAATATATGTTATTAGAGACAATAATATTCATCAGAACATAAATACAGTGATTCCAAATATGGAGAGTACTGTGTTGATTTTAAAATGTATTTTATGAAATAATTTTATCAAAATACGCAAGATAACAATATTACATAGAAAATAGTTAATCACAAAACTCTTACTAAAAACTGACAAATTCTTTGTTTAAAATTACAAAGAAATGTTAAAAGATAAAGAATACAAGCAGAAACAAACTTGTAAAAAAAAAAAAAAATTATTCAACAAGGAAAAAGATGCAGGCTTTCCTGTGAAAGATGCCATTTGGTTCTAACACCAACGAAAAGGAATAGCACGGGGACGATCAGCTCCCTCCTTTACAAGGGGTTTATGATATTCTCTCCCTGGCCGTGAATGGATCTGTGCCCAGCAGTACTCACAGTAATACTGTAAACAGGTCACATTGGCACAAAAGAAAGGTGCAAACTTGCCAGCACATCGTGCGCCGTGGCATTCGTCACACATCTGATCATCTAGAACATAAGGTTTCACCTCAACCTGTGAAGAGAAATACAATTTTTTATTTATAATGAATGTCGTGGAGGAGCAGGTGGTTCAGTCTTCTTCTTCTTCTTCTTCTTCACATTCAACGGATGTAAATTCTGGCAGAAAGTTCTGGTTTTTCCTCCACTTCTGGACTTGAGTCTTGTTTCAGAATTTGAGTGTTACAAGCACATCCATTTTACAGACCTGGCTTATTTGTATGCAGACTGCTGGTTCCTTGCCTATCAGGCCAATGTACTCATACGTAGAAGGAAATTCCAATTACAACATGCTTGTTAGGGAAGCAGTGGGTTTATTCCCCCCCCCACCCCCAACGGGGCACCAGAACCCACAAAGCGGTTCAGTGATTAGATTAAAGCTGATTAAAGACAACAGTATCTACTTAACTGCACTGGGTTTCATCTTATCTGGCTTGTTTTATTTTACAGATCTGGTTTAGTTATATGCAAACCGCTGGTTTCTCGCCTCTTAGGCTGATGCATTCAGAATTTGAAGAAAACATCCTTAATTAGCTGCCTTGTATCACATGCTTGCAGGAGGTGCGGGGCCTGGGAGGTGGGTCTAATCTTCATCCCCCCCCCCCCCCCAACTTTCCAATGGAACCTGGAACCAATATGGGAATAAATAGAGAGAGATGAATTAAATACAAAACATAAAAACTACACACAGTAACTTGAGTCAAACACACAACACTCACCCTCTTGTCAATATCTCCGTGCTGCAGCTGTACAAATCGAGCACTTATTGCTGCTATGTAGCTCTGCTGGTTAGAAAAAGCAACTCTTCCAGCCCCTTTTGGATATTTCAGCTCAGGGTCAGTGTCGATGCCGGCATAACAAACTCCTCCATACAAGCGGTCCATGATCATTGCCAGTTCAACTTTGACAAATATTACATGTATCCACACTGATTATACATATATATGTTCCTACTTCAGATAAGTACAGCTATATATAATATACAGTGAATCATGGATAGTTGGCAGATTAGTGAAAAATTATTATGTGGTTTTATAGATAAATGATGAAAATACCCTAGACAGATAAAAAGAGTAATGTAGATGCCTTGAAAGAAACTGACTCATGAAGAGAACTGACTGCCCACACCAGAAGGAGACAATCTACATTCTCTGATCATTTGATGAGAAAGAGAAAACTTGAGTACATCGTGACAGTAGAAAATTTGGAGGGGAAGAGAGGGAGAGGGAGACCGAGAGAAAAGATGCTGGACAGTCTGACATGGCACGGAAGATTATCTCCATCAGAGCTGATTGAAAGTACACAAGACAGAAGGCTGTGGATAGACATGACTAGCAACACCACAAGAAGAAATATAGTATCTCTTTTGTAAGATATCTCACTGAGTGTCAAGTAACCCATGGTGTGTGATGGATGACCTCTTACAGCCTACTAAAACATCTGGCCACTTACACTGCAAAGTTAGTGTCTGTGAAACTGACTCACAGATGGCTTTATAATGGTTATATCCCATCCCTCCTTAAGCATCTCTTGCCCAACCTTCCGGTAATGAAAGAGATATTTCTGCAATATTAATCAAGAGAAACTATCTGCTAAAGACAAAACTGAGCAGCGGCTGGCAGACTGGTTAAGAGCACAGAGTTCTCATGCAAGAAACCAATCCTCGGTAAGGTACCAAGGTTTGAATCCTCGGTAAGGTTAGGAAATTATTGTTATGTCCAGGTGACAGCACTAGCCATGAGACGTTAAATCCTCAGACTCAAAGACACACCCCCACTCCCTCCTTTTAAACACACCACAAAATTGGTAAATACAGGCCAATATGGCAGTTTTTTGTTTTTTTTTTAAAGAAATCCTGAATTTATTTACCTGCTCTTAGTGGTCGTGGAACTCCTCCAACAAAGATAGTTTTTCTGGGATCCAATGGCTGAGAGCCATCCATAACAAAATCAGAGTCACTTAAACTCCATGGGCGAATCTGAACCTAAACACAGTATATGTACATGTTAGATTTATGTTTTCATACACACTTTCATTAATATGAATAAAATCTGTAAGTAAATAATATAATCAATGGTAGCGAAACAGTGCAGTCACCTGTAACAGAATATTTATCATTCTGGTATTTACGTGTGACAAGGGGTGAGAAGATGCTGATGTGGCAGTCAGGCAGTGTACAAACCAAGATCTGGTTCCTGGAGATGGAGTGACTTAGAAGTCCAGTATCCAGCTCTGACTTATGTAGACAGTTGAAATCAAGCTGTCAATTTTAACCTCCTCAGTTTTGTATAAACAAACTAGATCTATTCATCTATTCATCACGCATGATAAACATTTTTCTGCAGTTGGAATTTTAAAAAGTAAACTGAATAGCCATTCCTATGCCTACATTTTGAAAAGAATAATGTAAAAAATTTTTTTAAAAATTTAAGATATTCACAGCGGTTCTGGATTTGTATACAAACATTAGGATCCTCGCCAATGTTATCGAGTTTGTGCTGTGTGGTTTATGGGAGGAGAGGAAGTACATAGTTACATTAAAGGGCATCTTTTACAAACCTAAACATTTTTTTTCATCTCCATGTGGAAGATCATGAAAAGAGGATTTAAAATAGTATATGCTGGGATGATACTTGCCAAAGACAATTATTTTGCCTGCTGCAAGAGAATTATAGCAATTTCTCACAGTAATGACAGACATGAGATCAAACGGTTTTGGTGCGTGTCAAGACCACAGAGAGAACTATAATTTTAGACACAATGGAAGTAAAGGCAGAGGTTGCCCATGCAAGTCATCAGTTCTCGTTATGCCTAGTGGCACATGAGGCTTCAGAGAGGACTTTCCATGCTTTCCTGTCCTGTGCAATCTTCAGTGCAGTTTTCCATGTCAAAGATGCCGCACTCAGGTCACTTTCCATCGTTCGTCTCCATGTTGTTTTTGGGCGCCCCATTTGTTCTCTTTCCCTCTGGTGTCCATGTGAGAGCTGTTTTGGCAGGTATATCAGAAGTCATTCTCATAACGTGTATCTTGCCAGAAAATTTTGATAATTCTACGTAGACATGTGTGGTGGAAGATGGACAGCTTGAGTGCATCCTTTTTGGTCATTCTCCAGCATTCCGCTCCATAAAGAAGAATTGGCAAAATGATGCTTTTGTAGAGTCAGAGTTTTGTTCCTCTGCAGTAATTGTTGGATTTCCAGATTTGCCTCATCCTTCCAAAAGCAGCTCTAGCTTTGTTCAGGCGTGACTGTATGTCCTCTTCGGTCCCTCCCAGTAGAGACACCACACTGCCAAGATATGTGAAATGTTCTACATTTTCAAGAGTTTGGTTATTTATGGTCACTGGTTGTTGGTTTGGACTGTTTGTCATGATCTTAGTTTTCTTTGTATTTATTCTCAGTCCCACCATTTCTGCTGTGCAGTGTAGTCTTTTCTCTTGTATATGTTCATGTTTATGTGATAGGAGTGCTATATCATCTGCAAAATCAAGGTCCTCAAGTATGGTGGAGTCCATCGTATGCCTCTTAATGTCCTGTCTACTGTGTTCTTTAGTATCCAATCAATCACAAGGTTGAAAAGGAGAGATGACATAACACTTCCCTGTCTTACACCTGTCTTTACTGGGAAAGAGGTATTGTAATTTTTTATACTGCAGGAAAAGTCTTTATAGAAGAGAGCAATTATGTTGACTATTTTTTCTGGAATTCCATAATGTCGTAACATTTTCCACAGGCCGTCTCTATGGACGCTGTCAAAAGCTTTCTCAAAGTCCACAAAATTAATATATTCATTGCATTGTTCTAAAATGTTATGTATGGCGAAGATGTGCTCAGTTGTTCCTCTGCCCGTTCTGAATCCTGCTTGTTCCACTCGTAGGCATTTATCTATTCCTTTTTCAAGCCTCATAATGATGATTTTTACAAAATATTTTGCTTGGTACTGAGAGTAGAGTAATTCCCCTCCAATTATTGCAGTCTGTTAAGTCTCCTTTTTTGGGGGGATTTTGACTAATGTTCCTTCAGTCCAGTCATCAGGCAACACTTCTTTTTCCCAAATATCCTTGAACAATGGTTCTAGAATGCTAGCAGTTGTGTTGGGATCTACTTTGAGAAGTTCTGCTGACAGTTCGTCTTTGCCTGGTGCTTTGTTGTTCTTTAAAGTGTAGATAGCTTTAAGGATTTTTTTGTTTGCTTGGTGGTTCAGTAATAATGTCAATGTCCTGAGAAGCTGGTTGAATATCTAGGGGATTTTCAGGATCAGGTCTGTTCAAGAGGTCGGAGAAGTGTTTAGTCCACTGCATGTCTTGTTTTTGTTCTGTGGTGAGCAGTCTGCCTTGGTTATCTCTGATAGGTATGCTGTGATAAATGTTTCTGTTTCCGCAAATTTGCTGGGTAATTTTGTGTAGGGTTTGTAGATCATGTGCTTTAGCAGCATTTTCTGCTGTTTCTGCAAGATTTTCCATAAATCTTTTCTTGTCAGCTCTGGCACTTTTCTTTGTCATTTTATTTAGTTTGCTATATTCTAACATTAGTTTGTCTTTCTGACGTTCTGATTTAGTGTGATTTATGAGGCTCTTGGTGTGGTGTTGTTTCCTGGTTCCTAATATCTTATTGCAAGTTGATTTGAATGTTTCTTTGATCTGGTTCCATCTGTCTTGAATGCCGATTATAGTTGGAGTTTCTGGGTCACTTGAAAGGGTTCGAAATCTATTCTTGAGTTCTACTATAAATTTAGTGGTAATGTCTTTTTCTCTTAAAAGGTTAACATTGTAATGTGCCGTCTGTGTCTTAACTTGCATGTGAGCTTTTTTGAGTTTAAGTCGTAGTAGAGCAATTACAAGATGATGATCGCTTCCTACGTCTGCTCCCCTTTTGACACGCACATCGATTAGGGACCCACGCCATTTTCTGTTTACCATGAAATGGTCGATCTGGTTTACATTTCATCTGTTTGGGGATATCCATGTAAGCTAGTGTATTTCTTGTGAGGAAATAGTGTTCCTCCTACAAGTCTATTCGCCATGCAGAAGTCGCTCAGTTTTTTCCCATTGTCATTAATTGTACCACATCCTTGATTTCCCATTGATAATTCTCTATTCAAGTTGTTGTTACCAACTTTTGCATTGAGATCTCCCATAATGCTTAGAATATCATGGGCTGGTACTTTATCTACTACCTCTTGCGCTCTCCTAAAGAATGTTTCTTAATCTTATGCAAGTCATGGATAGAGGGAATATCCGAGACTGTGAATACTAGCACATACACAAAGGCTCACACCAGATGCCACATCAAAACCTGATGCTGAAAGGCAGAACAGGGTCTAGAGAAAAGAAGAAGAAAGCAGATAATCAACACCCCTGGCTTGCATATGCCATAAGGAAAGATGATAAATAAAATCAGAATCCCCCGAGTGGGTTCCGGGGCCCCATTGTGGGGAAAACAAGAATAGACCCACTGCCTCCTCAAAAGCATGTCATTAGAGTCGACTAATTGGGGAGCTTCCTTTGAAGTCGAAGTGCATCTGCCGAAGAGGCAAGGAACCAACAGTCTGTATTCAAGAGAACGAGATCTGTAAAACTAATGCACACACAACACTCAGGTTCTGGAGCAGGACTGCAGTTCAGTAGTGGACAAGCAACCAGAATCTTTTGCCAGAGTTTACAGCTGGTGAATGCAAAGAAGAAGAAATCAGAATGAGCATTTTATTTATGGGCTGGGATGGAATTAGGTCATATCCCTGATCTCCAATTTGTCAGTTATGGCAATTCGAACTGACATTCTTCTTTTAATAAGGTAACTAGCTGCTTATCCTTTACAGCAGGACTATTCAACTATGCTTACTCAAGGGCAAAACTTTTAAAAATGGGGATGGTCAAGGGCCATTTGTCTCAGCCCCAGCATAGAAAGGTCCCTAATACAATGCAATTGACAATGATCCACAGGCCTCTTGCTAGGTCTCCCCAGGCCATCAGTTGAACAGTCCTGCTACTCAGGATGTTGCAGAACCAATCCCAGCACTGTTTGGCTGTTTGTAGTATTACTAAATTATTTTAAACTCAGCAGTTTGCCATTGCTTTCTGAATCCTCAGCTCTCTATACCACTATCGAAATCAACACAATGCTGTCTGCTACCAAACTGCACCAGCAGCTGGAAATGAACCATGTGCTTCAGAATTATGAAGTGTGTTCATAACACCTAAAGCCACATATCCTAACACCAAAATTATAACAACAATTACGCTAACCACATAATTCTAACAACCAATAAAACATCTTACAGGTTTGTCCTTCATTGTGGGACTGGACACACACCAATATAATTTATCATCATCCATCAGACATGATTCAATCAAACTCTGCACTGATAGCTCATCTTGAAAGATCAGGAAACAATAACCTGTGAAAAGTAAGCATTCCATACAGAGTAAAACATGTCATTTATTAGATAACTAAACCTGTGAAAAGTAAACATTCTATACAGAGTAAAACATTTCATTTATTAGATAACCTGTGAAAAGTAAACATCCTATACAGAGTACAACATTTCATTTATTAGATAACCTATGAAAAGTAAACATTCTATAAAGAGTAAAACATTTCATTTATTAGATAATTTAACCTGTGAAAAGTAAACATTCTATACAGAGTAAAACGTGTCATTTATTAGATAATTTAACCTGTGAAAAGTAAACATTCTATACAGAGTAAAACATGTCATTTATTAGATAACCTAATTTGTTTTTCATAAAAGCTTAAGTTTGCCCTGCACAATGTAAAAAGACCATAATACAATTTTTTGTTTCAAAACAGATAAATGTATACATTAAATGAAAGCTTAGTCGAGTGGTTCTCAACCTTCTTAATGCCGCGACCCTTTAATATAGTTCCTCATGTTGTGGCGACCCCCAAAAATACAATTATTTTTGTCCCTACTTCATAACTTCAATTAATTTTTATTTTGCAATGGTCTTTGGCGACCTGTGTGAAAGGATCATTCGACCCAAAGGCTGAGAACTGCTGGCTTAGCCCTACCAAAAAGCATGTGTGATCAGGTACTGCCCATTAGTACCAAGTCACAACCGATTTTATGTAGTGTTTCACCTAGTAATACCTTTTAAAAAACGTGTGACTAGTTACTTCTAATAATCCTTTGTATTTGTGCTGATTCAGATGTAACACTAATGTTCTCACATAATGTTTATGTTCACTGAGACTATTGTTACCGGGAACATGTCTAGCTAAATGTTCTGGTAACTAAAGAGTTCATGTATAGGTCAATATGGCAATCTCTGCCCAATCTAGAATTGGTGCTCATGCCTTAGATTTCTCAAATCAATGGCCTATTCATCTCAAAGTAAATATTAGTGAAGAAAGGAAAGTACAGCTGGTAATCTAGAGATTCTGCTCATGGCTAAGGTAGCTCACAACAATTGTTTGAAATCTATGACCTATTCTCAGTCAAAATGAGTGAAATACCTTTTGGAGGAAAGTATGACTTAGATTCTGCTTTATGAGGCCAGTCAACAACCAGGGCACCAAATCTTCTAAAAGCTGTTGTGATTTCCTCTGAAATGGAGACAATATTTATTTTTTTATATTCATATTTCCCCCCAAAAACAACGTAAAGCAAGCAATACATTTAACAACTATAATTAAATGCCTAATGTGTAAATTGTGCTCACAAATACTTTTACAAAGCAAAACAATAAATAAACTGTTTAAAGTATGTTGTACGAATTCAAAGCTTACAATATAAAACATTTCTGTCAAAACTGTATAAAAGAGCATAAGCATTACTACACTTACTGGCCAATATAAGGTCAGAGTTAATTTCTTAACAATGCCAAACTATTATAGCCCTGGGCGACTGAAATTTCAGAATCTTAGGTAAAGAAAAGGCATTCAGGTCACCTGAAGCTTAACACTTCCCATTCCTGTATCATTATCTCTCACAGGATTACATATGCCTTAACCATTACCATGTCGTACAAAAATACATTTATAATAAATGCTGTTGCATGTAATTTAGCACATGCAGTAATATCAAAGCACAATTTCTAATATTACACAATGTTTAAAACAATAGATTATGAAAGATAAACAAATATCAATATAGGTTTTGTGGAAGCATCAATCACTAACTGCTTTAGTTATACTGTCCATATCCCCCTAAAAATCTTTTTTTTTTCTTCAAATATATGCATGTTTTGCAATAACCAATGTAAATGATTCATCCATATGTAATACAATTTAGCAAACAAATCAATTTAAACAATGAGGAAATAGATAGAGTATTAGAAAATATACCAAGGCAAGTGGAGCTTTTATAGCACTGGAAATCCCTGAATGTCAAGAGATATTAAACCATATATCAGACAGAGTGTTTAACTCTAATGTCAAAGCAGTACTGCTGTATGAATAAGAAACATGGAAAATGACTAAAACAAGTACCCCTAAAAAAAAAAATATAAACATTCACTTGACTGGTGCCTGCATAATTGAGGAACTAGAAGGGTATGACTGAATTGCTGAATGAGAAAGAAATGCAAAAATCTAGAAAATGGCAAAAGACATAATGTCTGGGCACAAGAGGGTTTATGGTCTATTCTTCAATGTGGGACAAAGAAAAAAATTGTCATTAGTGGGTACTATCATCACAGCACTCAGGACAAATTTTTAAATATGAATGAACAGTATGCCTGAAAGAGACTAGGTCTCTTGCCAGCTCTCCAACCTCGTGCATTTTCCTACCCTTGGTGTCATTTATAACCTGTGCCCTCTTTGTGCTGGACGGCCTCTGCCCCTCTTTCCTGGTACCATGCCTTTTATCTATTTTCTTTCCAACGAATACAACAAACCCAGAAGAAGATAATAGCAAACAAATAAATTATTAAATTGACAACTTCTATGGATTTCATTTCTTTCAAAACCGTTAGTAATTTTTTTCTTAAAATTACCTTCATCAATGTCTGGAGGCAGCCCTCCTACAAACACCTTTCTAGAAAATCTCTCAATACGATCAATTCCTTGAGAACCAGGAGATGGCTGGGGTGCACCAGTCAGACTGGTGACATTCTGATCAAGGGTGCCCTCATCAATTGTTGAGTCTTCAACCAAGTATGGCATTTTCCCAGAAACTGAAAACATATTTCCATATTAAAATGTACAACATTCATTACCAAGTATGGCATTTTCCCAGAAACTGAAAACATATTTCCATATTAAAATGTACAACATTCATTATAAACCTAATAAATGTATACAGGCAATATATGAATATCCATAAATTCTAGCGCCCCATTTGTTCTCTTTCCCTCTGTTATCCATGTGAGAGCTGTTTTGGCAGGTATATCAGGATTTATTCTCATAACGTAGCCAAGCCATTACCATCTTATCTTGGTTATCATACTGTCTAGAGTTACTTGATTTGTGACCTGAAGTAGTTTAGTGTTAGAGATTGTATCTGGCCAACATACTGGTACAGACCAGGTTTAAGTACCAGCTAAAAGAGGATTATGGAGATGGAAAAGCATAACATGTAAAAAGTAACCAGAAAACACACAGTAAATTGTTCGGTAATGAAAGACTTAAAAAGGTTTAATGAAGCAATGGAATAAGGAAATCTCCTTAACTCTTTCAGCTCCAAGAAAAAGAATTATGTGTGACTGGCACATCCTGTAGAATTAGCCATCAGACAATGTATTTTTTGGCTTTTTACATTTGGTCAGACAATACTAAAGAAATCTAGCTCACATATTTGTACCATGTATTTAGCCTCTTTAGAAAGCATGCACCCAAGGTTTTTCATAGTGATTATTTTCCCACCAGCATCAGTTGTTATATCTTCAGGACTGAAAGTCCCTGGTATGAAAGTCAACATACCAAGTCAATACAGTCAATAGAAGTCCACATAAACAAAAATTCACGTAAAGGAATTGAGTCTTAAAGAACAAATTACCTACCTCTGAGATTATCCCCATGCATATGAACTCCTTCAGCATCAAGAGCTGTATTCTTCATAATGTTAAGCAACTGGTTTTCCAAAATTGGAAACTTCACCGAGTCATACTGATTTGTAGGATTCTGTAAATTTATTTAAAAAAACGTATTTACAAATATTTGCATTGTAATTGTAATACTCTATGCATTACTCTTCATTTATTAAGACCTCTAGAAATGACTTTCTGTGCCTTTATTAGGGGATGAGAGTGCAGTAAAGTAGTGGCCAAGCACATGGATGCCAGCCTGAAGGTCTAGGGTTTGAATTCACAGCAAGTCAGATATTTTCAAATCTGACCTCGGCTCCAAGGTCGATCCAGCCTTAAACTGATACCAGGTATTGTCTTGGGAAGTAAAGGTGGCTGGTGTGATGACCACATCACCCAACGAGCGTCAGCTGATCTATCAAAATATTTGCCTAGCATCATATGCCTTATGCCCCACTGGTGTTTAAAGGGTACTATACTTAAACATACTTAATTATTATTGTTGCTATTATTATTATTAGAGGGTGGGAAAAGAACATCTAAAAGGTTAGATAACCAGCTTAAATTTGAGCAGACCTAGTATCATTCATGGTTTCCCTGGTATGAATTTGTACAAAACAAATGAGTTAGAGGGTTAGACATCTTGCATTCTTGGATTAGGGTTTAAAAAAAAATTAAGGACCTGTGTGAACTCTGTATGTTAGAAAGTTATGTACAGTAATAAAAGATTAAAAGCTGACCTGGTTGATGCACAGGCAAAATTAGATATCCAACTCCCCATGTGGCTTTGGGGCCTTTTTGGGTGGATTGGAGGGGGGGGGGGGGGGGGGCGAAGAATTGAGGCATGGCCCCCTTAATAGGTAACAGGTGACTAATTAAGGACTTGCTGAAACTGGAAGATCTAGGATGAAAAGCAGATATCACAGGCTAGCAGTAAACCACAATACGTGTCAACGTCCTGTTTAAGGCCAAATTGAGAAGAAGAAGAAGAAGAAAACTAACCCATAAAAATGACCAACGCCCCTTTTGAGGTTAAATAAATAAAGAAGACCAACCCACCAAAGAATACTTAAAACAGGTACAATTCTGATACATATGTAAATTAAATTTTTTTTTTTCATCAGTGCTACAGATTCAAGCACTGAGTGAAGTTCCTGCTTATGTGCTCTTTAGGAGACCTGACTTTTACTTGAGTTTTTGTACCCAAAGAAAGTGACACTTTAAATTCATATCAAACAATGCTTTCAATGACATGTATTAGTCTTCTTCTGCGTTCATTTGAAGACATAACTGCGTTGTGCCCGTTTACAGCATGGCTGCGATATTTGCACTTTTCGGCCAACACAGCTGACTTCTGTAGCCAATTGCTGACCGGGTTAGCCTTCCCAGTTACATGTAATAGTGATTCGTCCACACTTTTGGTGACCACGCGAGATGGCAAACCATGACTGCCTAAGTTTATTGGCATAACACAAGATAAGTGATGCCATTCATGTACAGCATAAGTCAACATCATCATGTGCCTTGCCAACTGGCGTGGGCGATCATGCCTCTCCATAATCTGCGATCTCCTGCAGCATGTATCACACCTCCATGCCATGTAACAAGACTGTTAATTATCTTCTCTCGTTGTCTTCCTCTATCTCTCCTTCCACAGATCCTTCCAGTGGTCACAACATGTTCTATTTTCCCTCTTCTCATAACATGGCCGAAAAATGATGACTGTCTCCTTCTGATGTCTGTGATAAGTTGTCTTCGGGCTCCCGCCTCTTTCAAAACCTCTTGGTTGCTCTTTTTGGCTGTCCAAGGTATTCTAAGCATTCTTCTGTAAAACCACATCTCTGAGGCCTCTAGAAATTGTTTGGCCTGCCTACCGATTGTCCAGGATTCACAGCCATATGTTAAAACTGGATGTATATAGCAAGCAAGAATTCTTTTTCTAACTCTCAATGACAAGGATACATTGCACAAGATGTTTTTCATTTTATAAAATGCAGTTTTTGCCTGTCCTATTCTGTTTCTTATCTCAGTTATGCATCTTCCATCTGATGTTATCCATGTGCCCAGATACTTAAATTTCTGTACTTGTCCTAAAATAACAACATCAACTTTTATTACACACTTAGGAATAATTTGTTTCTTTGATACCACCATTACTTCTGTCTTCCCATTATTCAAACTGAGACCTATTCTTCCACTTTCTAACACCACAGTGTCTATCATTTCCTGTAGTTCTTTCTGACTTGTTGCTATCAAGACTGTGTCATCAGCATAACGTAGATTGTTTATATTGTGCCCACCAACCACAATTCCGGGCATACCAATTAAAGATATTATATATTCACTGTATATTGAAAACAAATCAGGTGACAGTACACATCCTTGTCGTACGCCTCTCTTTATGCTTTGAAATGTGTCTAAACAGTTGTTAATTCTTATAGCTGCTATTTGCTGCCAATACATATTCTTTATTATTCGTAGATCTTTCCCATCAATGTTTAATTTTTTTTACAGTTTGATTACTTCTTCATGCTTCACACAGTCAAATGCTTTTGTATAGTCTTTGAAGCATAAGTACAAATCAGTCTTTACTTCTATAGCTCTTTGTGACAATGTCCTAAGGATGTAAATGGCATTGTTTGTACCTTTTCTTTTTACAAATCCACATTGTTCATCGCTGGTTTGACAACTCACACCAACACCAGAACCATGAATCAGGTCTGTGTTCTTATCCTGCGATAGCAATGCAACCAAACCATTCAGGCATTTATCTCTGCCTTCCCCCTCATTCTCTCCCAGTAAGTTTGTCAGCTGTTCCTGAAGTTTTAGGGTTTACTTATTCTCGCAACATGTGCAAAATAAATCTGATCTCTCTAATCAGTCTATGGTTAACATTGTGTTACCAGTGCCACATGGGAGCATTAACAGTCTAAGGTTAACATTGTGTTACCAGTGCCAGACATGGACATTAGCAGTCTATGGTTAACAATGTGGTACCATGCCAAATGGGAACATTAACAGTCTATGGTTAACAATGTGTTACCATGCCAAATGGGAACATTAACAGTCTATGGTTAACATTGTGTTACCATGCCAAACGGGAACATTAACAGTCTGTGTTTAACATTGTGTTACCAGTGCCAAATGGGGACATTTACAGTCTAAGGTTAACATTGTGTTACTAGTGCCAAACTGGGACATTAAAAGCAACAACAAAACAAGAAACATTGAAACAACAGAAATGAAACACCTATGGTGAATCCTAAGTGTAACTTGAAAAGGCAGATAAAAAATGATGATACCAGGAAAGAAGCTGGGATGGAACCAGCACTTAACTATATCAAGAGACGACCGATCAAATGTTTTGAACCCAGACTTATACCAAACAGAACATCACAGAGACCCTGTCATTCAGAAATAGCAGAAACAAGTCTAGAGGTAGACCACACAAGTGATAGATAGATAGATGGAATACCCAAGGTTGTAAATACCAGCATCTACATAGCACATATCAAGGCTTGTACCCGATGCCTCTTTCAAATGAAAGGCAGAATAGGACTAGAGAAAAAGTGTATGGTTTTAGTCTATCTCATGATTTTTTCTTTCTCCGTTAGCTCTTGATATTCTTCGACTCGCTGCAGCCCATGGCCAGTGTTTGAAACTGGGAGGTTCCCGGAGTTCACACAGACTCTAGGTAATGGATACCAAAGTTAACACTCTGGAGTAAATAGAGGAACGTCGCTGTAGCTGCGGAATTGCATGCGGTCGAGGACACTGGCAGACAGTTTCTTTTTAGCTGTCCATACTGGTGGCAGAGCACTTATGGTTTACAACCATGTGCAATGACGCTGGTGTGACAATATTCTCATAAAATTCAATTCTAGTTATTATTTTTTTTTCAACTTGACCGTTTATTGTCACAAGAATACATCAACAGAGGCTCTTTATACAGCTTTCATACACATTTTCTTTTTTATCACAACATCTTTTTATTACTATGCTTTCATCTTGCAAATACTACTTTTCTACTGGAAATGTCAAAGGTAGTGAGCATACTTTGGATCTTTTCTCCAGGCCATGCCAGCGTGGTGGGTAATGAACAGGCAGACAGATTTGCTGCATCTGCACCACTGGGTGGTAAAATGATACATGTAAAGACAGATGTGGTCAAGGCCCTTTGGGAACAAGCAACGGAATCAGTAGAGAAACAAGATTATTATGGCCTGGAGAGAATTAGACACCTGGGTGCAATCAGAGGGTCTGGCCAGTTCACTACACTCAAAAGAAAGTCAAGACGGGCATATAACCAGGTTGTGACCGGCACCATCCGTATTGGAACTCTGCGCTGACTGCTTAAGATGAGGACAGAGCATGCATGGGAATGCCCCAAGTGCTGTGATGGCAATTCTTGACTCAGCTCAACTCAAACTACTTTTCCAGGATAATTTCTTTTTCAGATTTGTGAGGCATCTAGCATCAGATGTTATGACTGTTCTAAGATATTCCTGTTTAAATTTATATTCTTCTTCTTCTTCCTCTTTCATTTGTTTGAAATAGATTATCAATATCTGCAATGTTGTCTCTAGTGTGAACTTTACTGACATTTCCTTATTTAAAAAATCTATGTGATATTCTGAAATAATATATTTTTAAAAACATACCTGAAAGAGAGCATCATCAAAAGCAGAAAAATCATAAGGGTTTTTGGCTCCAACAGAGGCTTGAATCTGTCCTGGAAAAGATGTGCTCCTTCGAAATTTTGTTGGTGAAATAAATGGTGACTGCTGCAACTGCTGCTGAAGAGTTGGCTTTTTCACAGGTGGTGCTGATGCCAGTACATTCATGTTAGGTACTGACCTACGTTGCTGAACGCTCCATGGGGGATATAAGGATGCAAGAGGCTGCTGGGGAGACCATGCTGCTTGTTGAGAGTGATTCCAGTTAGGCAACATTTTAGGACTGCTGCAAGTGTTGACCATAAGTGCGGTCTGCTGTTTTGGAAAACTGTTAGCACTACTGTGGCCGGTAATGGCTCTTCGACCCTGCTGAGACAGCACTGTGCCAGTTGTTGGATTCGAGGTAAATGCAACACAGGAGTGGTACATAGCCGTGGAAGAGTCCATGGACACTGCTGCTTGAAACTGCTGGTATGACATTCCACCGTTATTCAAAGCATGTGTCTGAGAATTTGAAAAGTACGTTTCATCTGGGATGGAAGTAAGCGCAGCTGTTGAGACATTTGGCCACATAACAGGCAACGATTGATGCAAATGGGATCCACCAGGTCCTGTATGTTGGCTACCATCACAAAGACCCATATGACCACCTGTAGAAGGACTGATACTGCCAAATTTCGACCGTTCGGAATCATCTCCAGCGCCTTCCACGTCTGCTATTTTTGGAGATGACGATGTGTTTCCACAGGAATTATTATTGGATGTGTTAGACAACATTCCTACTGCCAACAAAGATGAAGATTTTTCATATAACACAGCATCTTGCATCTTCAGTATATAATATATTTATATTTCGTATCAATATTATCACAAATCCTAATGTTCAGAAAACAGGCAAACAAACCAATTTATCTACAATTCAAAGTTAATAAACCAAGTAACGAACGACAGTAACGTTACCTCTAAAAAAAATTACGACGGTTAAATTCGGAATCAATTAACATACAACCGCGCTCCTGACTATTTCTGTACTCTTTAAGCTTCGTGTCTTTTGAAGGAAAAAAAACTGAGAACACTCCAGTGTGTAAAAGGAGCCTGAGAGAAAAAGCCAACACGACAGCTTGACAGTTCACATCGGACATAACACAGCTCTTCGCCACGTCTGCTGCACGACTGCGGACCGCTATTCAATACCAGGGCTGCCGAAGTTGGTACTTTCGTTCAAATTGGTACTATTTGACCCTTGCATGGCTAAACTGTAGTTTTGGTACCACGTTGGGTGTTCGGCTCTTTCTTTGAATTTTGGATCAGTATTTTAAATCTTGGCATTGAACGCTAGATCCACTAAGGAAAACGCACGTCAATTGAGCCATTGATTATACAAAATCCCAGCCTTGTTAAAGCATAAAATTATAAACAAATAATTAAAGATTAACGGAAACTACTAACTCAAGAGCAACCAAATACAACCAAATTTTGATTTACAAAATCAGGAGAAAAATGTGCAGAGGAAAATCGCTTTTTGTTAGTATTAAAATTTATGCTTAGTCTTTTGACATTACATCATTCCTCTGCAGCTGTCCATTTGTTGTTGAGGCAGAAGTGTAAGCCTTAATTCTTGAAAATTATGCTGAATGCGGTGAAGTTATTTACACCGACGGATCCGTCATTCGACACATACAAAATTCACGGGCTTTCACAATTCTGGCTCAAGGTAAAACTGTAAAAGAAGGAAGTGGGGCATTTGTTTCAACTACAAGTAGTTTTGACTATGGAGGTGATGGCAACGATGTGGCTAGAGACAAAGCATTTTTCCTATGTGGGCTTTCTGGGTAATCCCATTAGCATGCTTAAGAAGATAGAGACAGGGTGGATTCGAAAAAATGCTTGAAGTCGCTTACGAAACTCCCTCTGAAAGAATTAGTTTTATTTTTGTGCCAGGACACTCTGGGGTAAGGGAATGAACGAGCGGATTTGCTTGCTGGCAGGGCCACGGTATGTACAGGAAAATCAATGGACCGAGTCGACATTCTCAGTGCTCTCAAGGAAGCAGGACGAGAAGATGATTCGGGAGACGAACTTGATTCCGTAACAATCAAAAGACTACAAGAACTTCAAGCCCAAAAAAAAGGTGTCGCTAAACATGAACACTATTCAGGTAGCCAAGGAAGAATAGTAAACCAACACAAAACTGGTGTTTGAGGTTTGAACAACGGATCAACATCATGGCACACGAGTAGTATCCCATAAGGGCTTCTTTCTACTTCTAACTAACGCCCGAGTCCGAAGCAGCTCAGCGCAGCACATGGTCTCCACAGCGCCGGTAAGGATTCTAATATGTTTGGGTAGATTTTTAACTCCAGATTTTGCCTGGCAGCGATTTCCAACTGCCAAGGGATTTTTTTTCGCGCGCAACAATACACACGGACGCTCGATCCCACTACCCAGAGACCAGGGGGAAATTACTAAAAGTCCACGTGAAAAAAATCCCAGCCCTCATCGGGGCCTGAACCCAGAACCTCTAGCACACGAGGCGGACACCATACCTCGAGACCACGAAGCATTAAAACTGGTATCAGTCACCAAACGCTGAGGGAGATACTGAAGATAGGATCTGAGCGCTTATGGGCATGTCTGATGTGCAGTGAGGATAATCGTTCGATTAACTATCTATAGCTGCAGACAGTTTTTCTCTCTGCTTAACAGTATTGAGATTCAAATTGCTTTTTTTTTTAAATAAGACTTCAACAATAAAAGAATAGATGTAATGAGATCAAACATTTGCTCCAGGAAATTATTTGCAATAACTGGAAACTGTTACCACAGCTTAGTAAAAAAAGAATGGTTCAGCAGTGATGTAATGGACAAAGTATTTCAGTTGTGACCAAACATAAGGTAAGCTAGTTATAAATTAAAAAAATATATATATACACACACACACACACACACACCACACACACCACACACACACATATATATATATATATATATAATATATATATATATATATATATATATATATATATATATATATATATATATAATATAAGATGTTTTAACGAATTTTAAAATGAAAAATTAAAATTTGGTGCATATTTTAGTTTAGTTCCGGTTCCAAAAACAAAAACAAAAATTGGGTACTATTCCCAAAAATATTTCGGCAACCTTGTTCAAAACCTCCAACTTAACTATGACGATTCTACTCTCGCCGCCTATTGCAGACCTCCCACTCCGGAGCTGACCATACACGCTTTATCCATCCCTACATCTTCGAATGGAGAAATTCTAATAGCTTCAGATATACACTTAATGGCGTTCATTTAGCGATTATGATAACGAGTTAATTGTCTTTATAAATTATTTTGTCATGAAAAACTGAGCGCATTATATGTGCCTCTAAATGTGTGGGTGGGTTATTCTCATGTGCATAAAATAATCCATTTTGTACCATCCGTCAATCACTGTATCTTCAAATTGAGATATTTCTTATAGCTTGAGATAAATGCACATTAACTTAAATAATTTAGCGCATTTTATATGCATACAAGTGTGTGAGCGTTTTTTTTTTTTTTAATTTTTTTTTAATAAAGCAAACTTCATCCAGCCTGACCATACGTAGTATATATTTTCTGTTCGAGAATATTTCTGATTGTTTGAGATATACACATTATTTTCAAAAAAAAAATTCAGATCAGCAGAGCCTCATAAAAAACATAAAAACAACACAGTAATGCCTCAATATACGTTCACTTTGGAATACGTTCAAATTAGTGTAGGTCTTGTTTTGACGCGAAAAAGTTTTCTTATTATACAACTTTTCTTTGGAATACGACCTGCGTGCTAGACCTTGTGTGAGTCAGAATTAGTCACGACACGGCATGCTATCTTAGTTTACCACTCTCGAGACAAAGCCACAGATAGATGTCGATGACTTGGCGGAGAAGTATCACCCGAACTAAGCCATTATAGCATTGTCTAGAATAATCTGACAATGCCACATTTCCGAAACATCGCGAGGAGACGTTCTTTGCACAGATTCTTAGTAACAATCACACCCGATAAGCCTCACGAGGTCCAAGTAGCAAAAAGGAGATAGGGATTCGGGGGTGGGGGAGAAAACACTGGTGACCCCTGGAAAGATATTATTATTTGGGAAGAGAGACAGAGGAAGACTTCGAGAGAAGATTCTCGGCAGTCTTTTGCCAGGCATGGATAAATGTCAAAACACCAGCGGATACACGCAGCTGCAGATCGCTGATTGTGGAGAGGCACGATCGCCTACACCAGTCGACAATTCGCTCGATGATGATGATGATGATACATGGTTAGGAGAGCTACTTAGCTCCCTTGTAAATTTTAGGAGTTGCGGGAGGAGAACTCAGCCTTACCCCCACCACCCCCCCCCCTTAAAAAATACTGGGTGAGGGGCGGTCACAGTGCTGCTAGGTTTCGGCACCACTCCCCATTACACCACCATCTTTTAAAATTGACGCCGCGGATCGGAAGGTCATGGGTTCGCTCCCTGGCGGAGATGGGCTTTTTTCAAAGATGTTACGTTGGAGACAAAAGGAATTAAAGAAACAGATAAGTTTTCCTTATTTTAGGTAATAATTTGGATAGTTACGAAAATAAATTTTGAAAAATGCAATTCGTACACATATTTGCAAGGCATCGTCAGCTTTTTAAAAGCCGCAACAAAATATGGAACATTGAACTGAATAGTTTTAAAACCAAGTTCTTCTTCTTCTATATCAGAAAGCCATCGTCGTCCACATGTGGGATGCAATTTTTAGTTATTTTGAAGCCCCACCCTGGCTTTTGCCGGCGGCCCTAAACATAACCGGGTTAAATTTGGCCTAACGGAGTTTCTGGGACCTCTCCTCGGGTGATCCTCATCCGCAAGGTGGCACACTGTGTCACCGGGTGTTTACTGCTTGTGTGATGTCCTGTTAAGGTAGAACCTACCTACGTACCTTCTTCTTCTTCTTCTTCTTCTTCTTCTTCTGCCTTTCTAACCTCCAATAGATAATAAGCCCTCGGCCAATGCCGTCTCAAGTTGGGCCACACGGTAGTTCCGGTCAGATGTGAGGCGTGGGCGATGAAAAGATGTGGTTTTTCAAAATGAATTGAACAATAGGACAGTGATTTTTACGTGTGTATTGACCTTGTTTTCTATTTACATTTTCTGGAGAAAGCCTTGCCTCAACCAACCCACGCCAAGTCGTTGTATCTATTGCATACAGCTCTCTCTATGCCCTCCTTATCTTTTTAACTTCATTTTCTAGCTCCATTCTCCATGTGTGTGCGCGCGTGTGTGTGTGTGTTTGTATGTTTGTGTCTTCTTTTATTTCTATGCCGCTGTAGGTTCCAGTGCAAAGGCATTCTAGTTATATTGTTCTCATGCTTTCTCAACGTGTGTCTTTTTCATTGCCAGCATATTTTCTTAACCTCTTGGTCTACTGAAACTTGTTTAGTTCTCTCCCAACGCTCTACATTAGTGATTATATCATACCATTTAATTCCCTCTATCTGTGCAAGCGCCAGTTAAAGAATGTTTGTAGTTTATTAGTAATTCCCTTAGTTGCTTTTAATGCTCCATACAACAGTATTGATTTGACATTATAATCCCCCCCCCCCCCCCCAAAAAAAAAAATGTAAATTAGTTTTCATTTCTATTGACCTCCGTGAATTCCCTAATGCTATGAAAGCTCCTCTTACCTTTTGTTTTCGTATTTTAATATATCTGTCAGTTGCCCCAACTTTATCTACATTACTGTCCAGATAGGTTTACGACTCCGCGTCTTGGAGAAGGATACCATAAAGAGAAA